CAGCTATCTTTACCCTGCGATTTACTTTTAGAAAGGATAATCATGTTGGAAATATTTGCAGACAGCTGTTAGAATATACTATATGCTCAACCAGTAACCCTATATTTTTCTTTATATATTTTGTAAATGCAATATGGTGCAAAACTGAGAAGCTGCTTTAAACATGGTAAATTACTAGGTAAATGCTAGTAAAATAAATATTAAGATATGATGCATTCATGCAGGGATAAACAAGCTTTCCATCTTGAACCTTTAAAAACACATATTCGAGAGATTATCTTTAAAAAAGCATTCCTTATTTTCATCGAAATGGCCTGCAGGTACACTTGATTGAAAGAAACTAATGTACTCCTAATGAGTGTAAACTAAAGTGAAAATGGATGGGCTTCAAGAAGTTTTAAAGAAAGGCTGTTAGAATATACTATATGCTCAACCAGTAACCCTATATTTTTCTTTATATATTTTGTAAATGCAATATGGTGCAAAACTGAGAAGCTGCTTTAAACATGGTAAATTACTAGGTAAATGCTAGTAAAATAAATATTAAGATATGATGCATTCATGCAGGGATAAACAAGCTTTCCATCTTGAACCTTTAAAAACACATATTCGAGAGATTATCTTTAAAAAAGCATTCCTTATTTTCATCGAAATGGCCTGCAGGTACACTTAATTGAAAGAAACTAATGTACCGGAGTGTAAACTAAAGTGAAAATGGATGGGCTTCAAGAAGTTTTAAAGAAAGCATTAAGAGACAATTTTGAAGCTAAACTGACCGATTGGCCTCATAAGCATAAACACATTCACATGGTTTTATTTAAAGCCATGGTATTTCAGCCGTTACATGTCCAAATTTGCCATTTGTTTCTTACCATGCCCTGCCTGGATGTGCACATCAATTAGTTTCACTTGATGACTCTGAGCTACCTGAGCTAATGCTGGAGGAGGGAGGGTTGTCCGTGTTTCTCTTTTACACAGCTGTGCCAAACCTCTTTCCAAATGGACATGATTTGCATCAGTGTGGATGTTGTTTACAATAGACCCAATGGCCACTGAAGGCAAATTGTCCCTGACCCTCATTACAATGTAGACCTGACACAAAGCATTGGTCTTGATTTGTTTAACCAAAAAAAAATGCAATATCAACAGGCATGACCTAGTAGCCTGAGATTAGTGAAAACGGAACATCCTCGTCTTTCAATACAGCGTTTTGATGTGTTTATGAACAGGGATATATGTGGTGTATTAAAATAAACCATATACCATTTCTCTGTCAGTTCCCTTCCCATACAGTTGTTTGCATCCATGGCAGAGCTCTAGTAAATGGGCTGATGTCTGAGTCCTGTAGTAGTGCGCTCTGAATCCTGTTTTACCAAATACTGTCTGTAGTTTTATACAGGTCTTGTTAAATATCGTGATGTATGTGCTGTGCACATGATGATACCCTAACTTAAATGGAAGTTAATAAATATGTCAATCATACTGGTCTGAGTGTTTTTAATTCTTCCTACAAAAGCACATGAAGGTTCAATGAAACCGACAGCTGTGATGGCACAAAACACGTAAAACTAGAATATCTCCCAGCATAACTATAGAAAGGGGCCTTTCCCTGGTGAAGCTAAAAATACGCTCACAGACTTGTGTCACTAGACTATGCGGGCCCGCCTGGAGTGCTGTGCTTGATATTTCTACAAGGACAGCACTGCCAAGACACTCTACTGCTATTTAACTTGCCAAGGCCCAGTTTACAGATTGGGTGGTTTTGCCATCCACAAAGCCAAGCGGTCACTCCTGGGAGTGGAAACCTCTCTTTCAAATTCTGTGAATTTTTCCAGAGGAGGACTCCACTGCAGCCCTTCCAGGCATGCGGTTCCATGAAAGGGGACCCCGTTTAAAGTGGTGTGGGCCCTTCCTTTTTCTGTGTGCTGACTAATGAGCAGATATGTCATACTGGTCTTTGTGAGGCCACGATTGGCTTTAACTCTAGATCAACTGCCAATGCTATTGTCTTTCTTTAGTACAATCCACAAACTGACATTTTATGCAAAAAGAGTTATGCATTTCCATGTAAGTGTAGGATAACAAAAGGAGACATGAATGACAAAGGACAATCCGCATCCACCCAAACATCCATTTAGTTGTCTTTTATCTGTAACTACTGTATAAACTTTGATCTATCACTTATTTATTTGTTTGTTTATTTATTTAATTTTATTTTGAACAGCTAAAACGATACTTACTTATTCACTTATTCACATTCAACAGGTGAGGGTGGCAAAAAAGTCCACGATAGTAAACAAACAAACAAAAAACAGAAAATTAAAATGCATTCCAAATTCAAGTTGGAATTCAGGTTGGTTTCTTATAGTTAAAAAAAAACATTTATAACATGCTTAAATTTAATTACTTAAAAAATGTCATGTGGTCTAACCATCAAGTAAAAACCATTAACATAACTTTCCTTACACCTTGAATACATGTGCATACATATGTATTATTATTTTCAAAAAACATCTATTTTTCAGGTAAAAAAGTATTTATAGAAATATAATGAATTATTAATACACAGCTGTGCCAAACCTCTTTCCAAATGGACATGATTTGCATCAGTGTGGATGTTGTTTACAATAGACCCAATGGCCACTGAAGGCAAATTGTCCCTGACCCTCATTACAATGTAGACCTGACACAAAGCATTGGTCTTGATTTGTTTAACCAAAAAAAAAATGCAATATCAACAGGCATGACCTAGTAGCCTGAGATTAGTGAAAACGGAACATCCTCGTCTTTCAATACAGCGTTTTGATGTGTTTATGAACAGGGATATATGTGGTGTATTAAAATAAACCATATACCATTTCTCTGTCAGTTCCCTTCCCATACAGTTGTTTGCATCCATGGCAGAGCTCTAGTAAATGGGCTGACGGCTGAGTCCTGTAGTAGTGCGCTCTGAATCCTGTTTTACCAAATACTGTCTGTAGTTTTATACAGGTCTTGTTAAATATCGTGATGTATGTGCTGTGCACATGATGATACCCTAACTTAAATGGAAGTTAATAAATATGTCAATCATACTGGTCTGAGTGTTTTTAATTCTTCCTACAAAAGCACATGAAGGTTCAATGAAACCGACAGCTGTGATGGCACAAAACACGTAAAACTAGAATATCTCCCAGCATATCTATAGAAAGGGGCCTTTCCCTGGTGAAGCTAAAAATACGCTCACAGACTTGTGTCACTAGACTATGCGGGCCCGCCTGGAGTGCTGTGCTTGATATTTCTACAAGGACAGCACTGCCAAGACACTCTACTGCTATTTAACTTGCCAAGGCCCAGTTTACAGATTGGGTGGTTTTGCCATCCACAAAGCCAAGCGGTCACTCCTGGGAGTGGAAACCTCTCTTTCAAATTCTGTGAATTTTTCCAGAGGAGGACTCCACTGCAGCCCTTCCAGGCACGCGGTTCCATGAAAGGGGACCCCGTTTAAAGTGGTGTGGGCCCTTCCTTTTTCTGTGTGCTGACTAATGAGCAGATATGTCATACTGGTCCTTGTGAGGCCACGATTGGCTTTAACTCTAGATCAACTGCCAATGCTATTGTCTTTCTTTAGTACAATCCACAAACTGACATTTTATGCAAAAAGAGTTATGCATTTCCATGTAAGTGTAGGATAACAAAAGGAGACATGAATGACAAAGGACAATCCGCATCCACCCAAACATCCATTTAGTTGTCTTTTATCTGTAACTACTGTATAAACTTTGATCTATCACTTATTTATTTGTTTGTTTATTTATTTAATTTTATTTTGAACAGCTAAAACGATACTTACTTATTCACTTATTCACATTCAACAGGTGAGGGTGGCAAAAAAGTCCACGATAGTAAACAAACAAACAAAAAACAGAAAATTAAAATTAAAATGCATTCCAAATTCAAGTTGGAATTCAGGTTGGTTTCTTATAGTTAAAAAAAACATTTATAACATGCTTACATTTAATTACTTAAAAAATGTCATGTGGTCTAACCATCAAGTAAAAACCATTAACATAACTTTCCTTACACCTTGAATACATGTGCATACATATGTATTATTATTTTCAAAAAACATCTATTTTTCAGGTAAAAAAGTATTTATAGAAATATAATGAATTATTAATTTATATATATCATACCTATTTGGGAGGTGGATCCACATGACATTTTATACCTGAATTAACTGTGACTTGTCATAAAAATTCAGATTATCTTATATTATATCATACATTTTTTTTTATGTTGGCCGCACTATATATGACTTTGATTTTGTGGACAAAAACTTTATTTAATGAAACTATATATATATATATATATATAATTATGATATAAGAACAGTTCATCTTTTTCACTTTATATCCCTTCAAAAACACCAAAATTGATTTAGTTAATTTAATTCAGAAATTAAAAGCATGCTCATAATCGAAGAGGTATATTCAAGACACTGTACGTGTAAATTGCATGTGTAAAGTATTTTTGAATAAATTTGACGTCATGCCATTGATCTTTACTTTACAATACACACTCTGCACTCAGTATATTCAAATAAACCTATCACTTTAAAGCAGGACAGGCGAAGTGAGACAGGTGTGGTCACTTAATACACATGTATTCCTGGACATGAGCTGGGGCTAAATGGAGCCCTATCATTGCCCAGAAGAATGACAACTTTTTGCTCCAATAAACTTAGTCTGCCATGTATGAGGGTTGTAAAGGCCCTCCTAAAAATAGGTTCTCTTCACCGCCTATCTGCGTCAGTTTCATTGTCTGTCAACCAAATAAACATCCATCCACCTCTCAAGTGCTTCTTCTCCATTAAGTTGTTTGGCCCAAAACTGTCTTTATATCATAACAGGCCTTTCAAGTTCTCAAGAGCACAAAGACTTCACAAGACGGGCCAATGGCCTAACAGCTCACAACAATGTGTTCGCTAACAGAAAGTATATTGAGAGTAATTCACTTACTGATGCTCTGGCAGCCAGGTGGTGGCTTTAAGCTGAAGGGAGGAGAAGGAAGCAGAGGAGGAAGGTGGAATGAGACACTTTGGCTACTTTGGCATTGTCTGTGGTCATGCGTATGGCCCATCCTTCTGTAGGAACAGAGAGGCTGTGACACATGTAGAGCTCTTCAGGGGCAAGTCAAAACCACTTATGTTACAAATAACAAATTACATGACCTCAGGCAATACATGTCTAACAATACAGTCAATCACAGACAAATACACTCCCATTCAAAAGTTTGTGGTTGGTAAGATTGTTTTTCAATGTTTCTTATGGTCAGTGTATTTTAAACATAAGATCTTAGCTTATGATTATATATTTAGTAAAAAGTAACATTGTGAAATATTATTACAATTTGAAATAATGGTTTTCAGCATTTATTTAAAATACAAATATTTTGTAACATTATACGTGTCTTTACTGTAACTCTGATAAATTTAATGCATCCTTGCTGAATAAAAGTATAAAGTTCCTTAAAAAAATCTTTGAAATGGACAGACAGACGGACGGATGGACAGACATTCAGATAATCAATAACAAATACATGGTGAATTTTCCCTATTATTCCCCTTTTTTTTTGCTAGCAACACATTTCCTTAGGATTATTTGATGAATAAAAAGTTAAAATTAACAGCATTCATAGAAATCTTTTGTCATATGTGACCTTGGACCATAAAACAGTCATAAGGGTCAATTTTTTGAAAATGAGTTTTATACATCATATGAAAGCTGAATAAATAAGTTTCCCATTGGTTTGTTAGGATAGAACAATATTTGGCCGAGATACAACTATTTGAAATTCTGGAATCTGAGGGTGAAAAAAAATCATGCTCTTTCAAGATAATCGCCTTTAAAGTTGTCCAAACGAAGTTGTTAGCAATGCATATTACTAATCAAAAATTACGTTTTGATAAATTTACGGTAGGAAATTTACAAAATATCTTCATGCAACATGATCTTTATTTAATATCCTAATGATTTTTGGCATAAAAGAAACATCTATAAATTTGACCCATACAATGTATTGTTGGCTATTGCTACAAATATCCCTGTGCTACTTATGACTGGTTTTGTGCTCCAGGGTCACATATCATGTATTTACTGTCACTTTTAAACAATTTAATGCACCCTTGCTGAAAAAAATATTTAGAAAAAAATCTTACTGACCTCAAACTTTTCAATGGTATATAGATAAATGATGAAAACATATACATTTATTGCACTGTAAAGTCACTTCTGATAAAGGCATCTGCCGAATGCATAAACAGCACATACAAAATGGCTAAAGTGAAACAAGCAGCTGGAGGATGGGCTGGGAGAAGCAAATAAGTGATGAAGCAAATCAGATGAATTCAAATTCCCGCACCTGGTTGGAGCCACAAGCAACCACATGAATGCATCTGCTCCATCATCCACTGACAGCGAATCCGTAGATTCCACAATCACTGTTATACCAACACACACCTGCTATCAAACATACCTAAACAGAAGCTTTTCAACAGAGAACCCACAGGGATACAGTACTTAATAAAAGATAAAACATATCTTTCCATTGAAAATTTATAATTATAAACATAAATAATGTGTAATCGTTATCAGTGCATTTTTCTGCACATGTAAATATCAGCACTTGCGGTTTGTTTTTGCATGTTGCTGCAGAGGGAGAGTACAGGGACTCGGATGCCTGAGGCAGTCTGCCTGAGAGTTGTATTTAGATAGGGTGTTTGTGCCTTGTGCCCTCTTTGTAGGGCCAGCTGTAAGTTGTCTGTTTGGGATACTCCAGATGTTTGCCCATAAAGACAAGGCACTTCAAACAGCTGCGAACAACATCCTAACCCCCTTGCACTTCCACCATGTTTAGAGGTGTATGCTGGGGCTTAAGCAGAGGGGAAATGACTCCGACTCTTACCCTGTAATCATGGGGCCGGCTGGCCAGCATGTCGAGGGGGGAGGAGGGAACCTGCCAGTCACTTTCTATTCCGCATCTTCTAGCACTGAGGGGAAGCCCTGAAACTCCATGAAACCTGCAGATTCTCACCTTTCCCAAGGGAACTTGAACTTGAATCAAGTCGCTCCTGTCTGGGAATATACAGGCTTTATATGAAAGCTCAGAAATGAAGGTTCTTCATTGGATCTAAGCAGTGCTTTGGGTGTGGGACATCTTTTTTTCAAGAATTTGTTGAATATGTTTTGTTAGAGAAAGCTTAATGTAACATCATTTGTTCTTCACAGCAGCATGTTAGTTTCAGGAGGGTTTAAATCAACAATACATGGACTTAAAAGGGATTTAAAAAAATTATTCTAAGGCTGGCTGCACACTAGACGATTTTTTCCATTCTTAAACGATTTTAAAACCATGGGAGACCACGATTTTCACCCAAAAATTAAAAGTCTGTCATCATTTACTCAACCTCAAATTGTTCTAAACTGTTATCCCTGAAATTGTTTTAACCCAAATTAATTAAGTGCACTAAACATAAAAATTAAATTTTTTTATGTAGTAATGCATTTTTTGAGTTAGGTGTACGATTTACATGAGTTTCCTCACTCCATTGAACGGCTTGAATGTCTGCAGTCTTTAGCATCCTTGTTAGTGCGCCCGCCTCCCACGCCGGAGACCCACTCGGAGCAGGCGAGTGTACATTGGTGCCGTGACCCGGATGGGAGTGAGGATTAGGGGGGTGAGTGTTCCGTTCCGTCTTGCGCACAGCCTCGTCGCCTCACTGACATGAAGTGTGTTGCCATTAGAGGGATTCCTGTAATACCTGATCACCCTCCTTTGAAGAACTTCATGAAGTTCTTCAAAGCTTGCTTTGCAAGTATTGCTGATTTGTTGTTGTTGTTATAAATGATGTAAACTAAAGGGGTCATAACATAGTTTTTATTTAAAATTTGTTTTATTAATTTCCTTCATGTCCAGGCTTCTGAAAACGAGGACTCACACCAAAACCTTCCAGTTGGAACCCATGAAAGTGAAGATGTTGCACAGCATCCCCTGTCTTTCTCCTCCATCTAGCCCCTGTAAGGAATCATCTCAGAGGGTGATCTTGGGAAGGACGGTTTAGAAAACTTATGCCTTATGCCTTGCATCTTGATTAATGAGCAATACATTACACACATACATTTTCTCTGTTTTATTAGACAAAATCTCAACATACCTAAGTTACTAAAAATGTGTTAAATGGATTTTGTAAAATGAATTAAAATAATCAGAATTTTAAAAGAAAGTTGTTTGTTGTTTATTGTGCAGCTGTAACTATTGTGCAGCAGAGAAATCAGTCAAATTAAACCAATTAAATAGGTTATATTAAAAATGCAATTTGGTCTACTAAAAGTTCACTTTAGTGCAATTTAATGTTTTGAGTTACCTTAACGGGTACATTTTAGTTATTGTAACAGATAGTTCAATGAACTAACACTTTTCAATGTAAAGAACTTGAAACGTCTTGTTTTTTCAACAAGACAAAATCAACTTTTTTAGGGCGACAAGTTTCCATACATTTTTTTTTTTATTCAATCAACTTGTACGGGCTTACATTTCTTCTGTAGAGTGCAAAGTAAGTTATTTAGAAGAATATAGCTAACCAAACAGTTTCTGGTTCCCTTTGACTCCCTTAGTATTTTTTTCCCGTACTATGGAAGTCAATGGGGACTAGCAGCTGTTTGGTAACATTCTTCAAAATATCGTCATGTTTAACAGAAGAAAGAAACTCATACAGATTTGGAACAACTTTAGAAAGAGTAATAAAGACAGAATTTTCATTTTTGCATGAACTATCTATTTAAACGATTTTTTTAGGTAGAAAGAGTTAAATAGTATTTTCTTGTAAAACATACTCCAGTATCTTTGTTTTATTTACAACTCATAAAAATCTTTGTGTGTGTGTGTTTCAGTGTATGAACCATTATTTGCAGCTAAGATAAACTGAAAAAAAACACAGTTAAGCTCCCTGATCTTTATAGCTTTAAAGGCCCAGACCTTTGTACAGAACAAGAGCGGAGGATTTCACGTGGCTTTAATTAAAGTAACACCAACAAAGTGGGTCATGTTGGCACAACATGGAAAAAGAGGCACCTAGTCAAAACACAATTTGAGGGCTTCAAAGCGAATAGTGACTACCTGCATGCAGCACCGACACACAAATACTTCAGAGGTTTAATCAAGCCTGTGTTTCCCCAACATAAACAAAACCACCTCATCCAACCCTATGTCCATAAAGAACTCAAGCGTGTAATCTAACACTGGAATTAATTGCAAAACATCCCCTGGATTATTAAGGAAACTAAGGATAGACATATAAAAGGCTACATGAACCAGTTTTGTTGATATGACTTTGCAAGTCTGTTCTGCATATCACACTTGAAGCAAATCTTTGAGGTTTCCACAAGAGGGCAACACATGAGTAAATTGTGTGCAGTTGTAGTGGCCTCAAAAATAGAATTGTTTCTTACTATACTGAAACTGTCATGATACATGAAACAAATATGCATTGTTCAACTAACAGATATCAATTTGAAACTATTTTTTTGAGGGCTTCAAAGCGAATAGTGACTACCTGCATGCAGCACCGACACACAAATACTTCAGAGGTTTAATCAAGCCTGTGTTTCCCCAACATAAACAAAACCACCTCATCCAACCCTATGTCCATAAAGAACTCAAGCGTGTAATCTAACACTGGAATTAATTGCAAAACATCCTCTGGATTATTAAGGAAACTAAGGATAGACATATAAAAGGCTACATGAACCAGTTTTGTTGATATGACTTTGCAAGTCTGTTCTGCATATCACACTTGAAGCAAATCTTTGAGGTTTCCACAAGAGGGCAACACATGAGTAAATTGTGTGCAGTTGTAGTGGCCTCAAAAATAGAATTGCTTCTTACTATACTGAAACTGTCATGATACATGAAACAAATATGCATTGTTCAACTAACAGATATCAATTTGAAACTATTTGAAAATTCAGATACTATATTTTACCTGACCTATAAGTTTTTGTTGAGACTATTGAGCTGAAAACTGACAAATCACAATCTTTTGTGTTTTTGTGTTGTTCAGACACCAATGGGTATTCATCACATAAATCCATTGCTTAAACATTTGAAACAGTTCAAATGTACGACTTAACAAATTAGTGAAACTTGGCATCATAAGAGGGGGTTGAACTTGCAGTGGCAACACAGTTTTGCCTCTATCACTCTGAAGTAATACAAAATAATTAAATATCTCTCATGGAAAATTATGATTAAAATTAAGTTAAATAGTGATGATCCCAAAATGTTGCCTTTATAACATATTTACACATAACACTGTTTTTTCCACAATAATTTTAAACAATTTGACAATGTATTGTAGTAGTTTTAAAGACATTTGAACACTTATATAAGAACACGTAAGAGTTCTTATATATTCATAAATTTTCTCAGTAAAAAATATTATTCCACAGAACATGTCAAAAGCACCGCTTGAATGTATATAAACTATACTTTTGGGTAGATTATGTACAAATCGTAGTCCATTATTGACACAAATTACTTTTAGATTACTTTTGACCTATCATTTTTGAATAAGGCAATCTTAAACCATAAAGATATAAAAAAAAAACAAGATGCAAAACATCCAACAAGATGAAAATAATCATTAATAAAATCCTAAAAAGTGTTAAATCAAAAGAAATCATTTTAAATATAAAAAGAATCAAAATAAAACCCTTTCAAAAATGAAACATTTTATTTGTTTATGTTGTGTGATCTCTCAATTTTCTGTCTAAGTATAGCTGCCTGACTAGTTAAAACTGGAAGACTTCCCAAACAAAGAAAGTTTTTAAACATAAAACAGATTAATTGGGGAGAATCAATGAATTATGAATAATTCATTGGCTGTTTGTGAATATTAAGTAACCATATCATTAATAAAAATGTAACTGAACCGGCACATTTTAAAACAATATAATCTAATAAAAAATACAATTCTGATTATGTAATCCAGATTGGTATGGGAATTTATGACAAGTTTCACTTGTCATTAGACCCGTTACATTCTAGGTGAGCTTTCATTTCAATAAAGGGGGCATCTGAAATGAAGGAGGTCAAACTGTGCAAACCACTGGCAATATGTATTTTACTCTTATGTGCGTCATAAAGCAGCATTGACCCAAAAGTAAACACTACATCTGATTATCCTTGTTTGCTTAACAGGGGATCTCCCCAGGTAGCTCAAAATGCACAACTCAGCACATTTGTGAAGGAAAGACACAAAAATAACATGTTCCCATGCCTCTCTTTAAAGGTTATCATATTCTATACAATACTTCTGTCATGATTTAACGTCCCTTGTTTGCTTGTTCAGAACAGAGTTCATCAAGAGGCAATGTGGAAGTATTACAAAATATATCCAGACAAGGACCTTTGATCTACTGGGTCTGCATTACATAATCAATTATACATAATTTTCTTGCACAGCCCAGTGGGTTTGGCTCGAAATGGCATATTTCATGAATGAATGTGATTATTAGATAATATAGACTGACCAATGAATGAGCTGGGACTGGTGTGTGAATTAGAGATTTCCTCTGCAATTACTATAATGTTTTTGTTCAGAGGCACCAGAATTTTTTTAGGAGCAAACTGAATGACAGCATAGGCCAGCATTCAGACTTACATCACGTCCTCTGCACATTTTTGACAAACAGCACAAAGCCAAGCTTTCAAAGTGATGTGGCATCACTGAATACTTATAATAATGAATACATGAATGTCACACAAATGATGAGATAATGATGGAAACTCTAAGGGTAACTTGGTGACTTAGCAGAACGAATGAACCATTCGTTCATTTCTCATTTAATTTCTTACGTTTTGTATGATATTAACTGGTTTGTTTAGGTTTTGCTTGATATGACCTGTTTTAAGATATATATTATCCATAATTTAAATGAGTAAACACTTGGGAATGTTTATGTATAATATATGTATAAGTATAATAATATTGATGGATCTTCTTAACTGACTATAAATTAAAAGTAAAAAAAAAATTATCATCAAGAATGCCTTTTCATTCAGTACATGTCGTTTATTTGAATCTTCTTCGTAATGAGTCATTCGAGTTCAAAAATCTTATGGAGCATCAAAATTGCCAAAGTGCGGCGATTACAGAGCGCTATCTAGCGATCACTGCAGGGAAGTGGAATTGCAAGAACCCTGCAAAGGCTGTCTGGTGAGAATATATTGCACAGGGATATATTACCACATATCTGTAAAGACTTATATAGGCTAACTAAGAACGTTGATTAAGATAAAACGCATTTTTTTTTAATGCAAGATCAACCTCATGTCTACAATGACAAGCACATAGGTCATTTTCAACATTTACATAAATGGGAATATTTTTCATTCAGTACATGTCGTTTATTTGAATCTTCTTCGTAATGAGTCATTCGAGTTCAAAAATCTTATGGAGCATCAAAATTGCCAAAGTGCGGCGATTACAGAGCGCTATCTAGCGATCACTGCAGGGAAGTGGAATTGCAAGAACCCTGCAAAGGCTGTCTGGTGAGAATATATTGCACAGGTATATATTACCACATATCTGTAAAGACTTATATAGGCTAACTAAGAACGTTGATTAAGATAAAACGCAATTTTTTTTAATGCAAGATCAACCTCATGTCTACAATGAAAAGCACATAGGTCATTTTCAACATTTACATAAATGGGAATATTTACTCAAAATTACTCTTTAACTTCCGTGTAAATCCAGCGGCCTCAGCAATTCACAAAATAGACACAATACGCAAAAAATAAATAAACAAAACAGAGCAAATGTGTTATAGTAGGTTAAGTCTACTCCAGAGTGCGCATGTTAAATTAAACAGATTCACAGGGATTTTGGCGAATTAATATGGGTGAATATTTATTTCCCCCCTTTCGAATTATTCAAGAATAGCCTACATTAAAAATGCAAATGCAATCTTCAAAACGCAAAAAAATCTTTAAAAAAAAAACAAAAAAAAAACTGAATGAAATTATTGAGAGAGAGAGAGAGAGAGAGAAAAAAAGAAATGCTAGCTGGCATGAGTAATCTGGCATCCTATTTTGTAACATCTTAAAAGTGAGCTTCCCCCCCCCCCAACATATTATTAATATTTGATCCAGTTCATCAGAATTTTTATTTTTTTTATTTTTTTTTAGAATGATTCATTCATAGTTCTCAACTTTCTTACATGGATGTGGAACAATGTAACACGATAATATGAATGATCATTTTTGCACTTCGACTGACACTGACTCCTCGAAATGCCTCTCTGAGAGAAAATGGTTAAGTTAATCGGAGTATGCATGACAGATGCATTATAATAAAACAATAACAGGATAACATTTGATAATTTATTCTGTCTTCATCGTCTGTTGGATGTCCAGCGGGGGTGTGTTACCCTGTTCTCAGAACTGCCAAAAAGGGGAAATGCTTATCGATTGATCTGATAAGAGGACAATTTAAAGGCCAGCTGCAGAGCTTGCGCCAAAACAGAGCAATACAAAGGAGAAAGAGAGTGCAGGATTCATATCGGAACAAGACAGCCTATAATTACTACAGAGAAAAGTTAATAATGCTCCTCTTACTCTTTGTCACTGTTTGTGGAAGTAGCATAGGCGTGGAGAGCGTCCCGTTGCCTGACTCTGGTCCACATTTGGCAAATGACTGGGGAGAAGCAGTCCGGCTCCGACATCTGTATGCAGCCAGACACGGTTTACATCTGCAAATAAACCCAGATGGGGAAATAAGCGGATCGTACATGCAAAGTTCGGACAGTAAGTGACAGTCATGTCATGTTATCTCAGCGCTTCACGTATATGGGTCAATGACACATAAGGATGTCCGAGATGATAAAGAGGGAACATCTTTTAAAATACTGAAAAAACGTGTCGATTTCTTAGAAGTGTATTTTTGAAATCTATATTGATTTCAAATATATGTATTAAACATATAGGCTAAGCCTATACCACAAAAAATGTCAAGTGGCGTAACCATCAAGTAAAAAAGCACGTGGGTGCACAATTGAATCATTATGTTCTTTCTGATTGATGGTTTTCGTTCTGAAAAGATTAATAATATTGTATTTTATTTTTAAAGATATAATAGCCTAATGCACGCTTATAAAAACTACCTGTCTTTTAACTGATTTTCAGATTTTCAATTCGACTTTTTTATTTATTAGCCTACAATCTGCAGTTACACCACTTTAAACTTTATATATATATATATAAAAAAATTCAGAAAGGTTGAACTTAAGTCACCTTTTCTATGAATTGCACTATTATTATTATAGTTATTATTATTATTTTGACTCACTACCTCACTTGTGGATTTCATGCATCATTATATTATTCTGCAACATGCGCTATGCCTAGAATTGCGACTGGAAGTTAAATTAAGTTGACGAGCATCTTCTATTTCTATAACCCTGTTTATGTCAAACCCGTCTCTGTGAGACATTTTCCGACCAATAATGTTTAAATGAAGAGTTTAGAGCTTTTAATTTCAGCGCAAACACACTGACTCCTCGAAATGCCTCTCTGAGAGAAAATGGTTAAGTTAATCGGAGTATGCATGACAGATGCATTATAATAAAACAATAACAGGATAACATTTGATAATTTATTCTGTCTTCATCGTCTGTTGGATGTCCAGCGGGGGTGTGTTACCCTGTTCTCAGAACTGCCAAAAAGGGGAAATGCTTATCGATTGATCTGATAAGAGGACAATTTAAAGGCCAGCTGCAGAGCTTGCGCCAAAACAGAGCAATACAAAGGAGAAAGAGAGTGCAGGATTCATATCGGAACAAGACAGCCTATAATTACTACAGAGAAAAGTTAATAATGCTCCTCTTACTCTTTGTCACTGTTTGTGGAAGTAGCATAGGCGTGGAGAGCGTCCCGTTGCCTGACTCTGGTCCACATTTGGCAAATGACTGGGGAGAAGCAGTCCGGCTCCGACATCTGTATGCAGCCAGACACGGTTTACATCTGCAAATAAACCCAGATGGGGAAATAAGCGGATCGTACATGCAAAGTTCGGACAGTAAGTGACAGTCATGTCATGTTATCTCAGCGCTTCACGTATATGGGTCAATGACACATAAGGATGTCCGAGATGATAAAGAGGGAACATCTTTTAAAATACTGAAAAAACGTGTCGATTTCTTAGAAGTGTATTTTTGAAATCTATATTGATTTCAAATATATGTATTAAACATATAGGCTAAGCCTATACCACAAAAAATGTCAAGTGGCGTAACCATCAAGTAAAAAAGCACGTGGGTGCACAATTGAATCATTATGTTCTTTCTGATTGATGGTTTTCGTTCTGAAAAGATTAATAATATTGTATTTTATTTTTAAAGATATAATAGCCTAATGCACGCTTATAAAAACTACCTGTCTTTTAACTGATTTTCAGATTTTCAATTCGACTTTTTTATTTATTAGCCTACAATCTGCAGTTACACCACTTTAAACTTTATATATATATATATAAAAAAATTCAGAAAGGTTGAACTTAAGTCACCTTTTCTATGAATTGCACTATTATTATTATAGTTATTATTATTATTTTGACTCACTACCTCACTTGTGGATTTCATGCATCATTATATTATTCTGCAACATGCGCTATGCCTAGAATTGCGACTGGAAGTTAAATTAAGTTGACGAGCATCTTCTATTTCTATAACCCTGTTTATGTCAAACCCGTCTCTGTGAGACATTTTCCGACCAATAATGTTTAAATGAAGAGTTTAGAGCTTTTAATTTCAGCGCAAACTATTTTTTTTTAAATTTATTTATTGCCTTCAATAAAAACCGTCTTTTGTTTCCTAAAGGTTTGGTTGAGATACGACCGGTGGATACGGGCTGTGTTGCCATTAAAGGTGTTGCAAGCTCCCGATTTCTCTGCATGGACAGAATGAGAAAACTGTATGGATCGGTAGGTTTGACAATCAGACGCAATATAATGCACAATCTTATAAAATAGTCTTCTCTATTTGTATTAGCAATTCTATTGAGAATCATATCTACCTGAAGAACCATATTCAACCCTAATCAAACACACCTGAACAAGCTCATCAAGGCCTTCAAGATCACTAGAAAGTTACAGGCAGGTGAGTTTGATTAGGGTTGGAGCAAAACTCTGCAGGACAGTGGCCCGCAGGACTGAAGTTGCCCATCCCTGATGTAATATAAAGCCTCATTCAAACTCAACCTTAAGATTATGGACAGAGCCCATATGTCAGGGATCCTCAAATCTGGCCCACGAGAGCCACTTTCCTGCAGAGTTTAGCTCTAACCCTAATCAAACACACCTGAACAAGCTCATCAAGGCCTTCAAGATCACTAGAAAGTTACAGGCAGGTGAGTTTGATTAGGGTTGGAGCAAAACTCTGCAGGACAGTGGCCCGCAGGACTGAAGTTGCCCATCCCTGATGTAATATAAAGCCTCATTCAAACTCAACCTTAAGATTATGGACAGAGCCCATATGTCAGGGATCCTCAAATCTGGCCCACGAGAGCCACTTTCCTGCAGAGTTTAGCTCTAACCCTAATCAAACACACCTGAACATGCTAATCAATGTCTTCAGGATCATACGAAAATCACTGATAGGTGAGTTTGATCAGGGTTAGAGCTAAACTCTACAGCGCATTGGCCCTCCAGGGCAAGATTTGAGGAACCCTGCCATATGTGGTGTCTTTTGTAAGCAAGCAAAGTAGGCTAGGCCTACATGTATTAATGAATTAAATGAATAGTTTTAGAAATAAATGTTTTTTTAGTACAGCAAATGAATGAAAACATACAAATGCATTTTCTAAAATTAAAGTTGAAGACAAGGAACAATGCTTGAAAAGCCATGTCAGATACAGTTTACAAATTACTCATTTTTACTTGCGAAATTAGACATTAGATGTAGTATACTGACACATTTTATAGGCCTACCCTTTATTGTATTCAAATGTTTTATTGTAAACATAATGTGGCAGTTTTGTGACTTTATGCTCTAATCATTTCCAAGGTGCTGGTAGATATTTGTCTCATAATCAGTGCAGTTAACATGGGCTCACTTATTACAACAGCGTTACAACCTTGTGGCACCACCTTACATACTGCCTGATTTCCTGAGCCAGCTAGCACAGTGGTTCCCAACCCTGGTCCTTGAGGCACCCCAACACTGCACATTTTGCATGTCTCCTTTCGCTCACACACCAGTTTCAGGTCTTGGAGTCTCTACTAATGAGCTGATGACCTGAATCAGGTGTGTTTGACTAAGGAGACATGCAAAACATGCAGTGTCACCTTCTCCTTGTAACACCTATGTCATACCTTTGCCTCCAGGACCAGGGTTGGGAACCTAGCATGCCCCAAAAACACTCATTTGAAGAAGTCAAATCAAGAAAAGTTTGTTTTGACAATCAGACATAAGTATATATAGTATAAGTATTTATTCACAATTAATGAGGAGTAAGAAAATGAAAATCTTACCTGTTGAAGTATGACAGCTGAAAAAAGAGGGATTTGGTCCTCAGTGTAGCTCTGAATGTAAATAAAGTTAAAACGAAGGTAAATGAAACATCTAAGTATGATTAAATGACATGTTCTGCCTTAAAATTCAAGATAAAGTCTTTCTTTCAGTTTATAACAAATGTGACAGCTCACTTTATTTTGTTCAAGCATAAACATGAAAGTCGATTTGGTTTACTTTCCCTTCCAGAAGGGGCGCCGTGGTCCAGGCGCATCATGTAAACATCAGGCCAACTGCAACGAAGAAGAACGATTCCGGAAGTTAGTGTCCGTCAGCGAAGACTGCGGGATAGAAAACCAAATCATTTTATTGTAAAATGGCTTTTGTGTCCAACAGTGAGGATTTATTTGACTGCATGTTTGAATAATGTGAGGAGTAGCTTTCTGGAAAAGCAGTGTCAGGTTTTTGCTGTTGTGTTGTTACAATGACTTCCAAATTCTGGGGCCTCACGTCTGAACACGCAGTTGACATGAATGACAGCATTGTCATCATGCATAAATCCATTTGAAATATTTATTATTACTACTACTGTTATATTCTAAATTGTAGTTGTAGTTATGATTTCGTTTGATTTCTGTCTATTATTGTTTTTAAAATAATTGAGAACCGTAAATAATTTGAAGTGTGTACAGGAATAACCTGGAACACAAAACCAGTAATAAGGGTCAGTTTTTTTTTTTTTTAATTAAGATTAATACGTCATCTGAAAGCTAAATAAAGCTTTCCATTGATGTCGGGTTTGTTAGGATAGGACAGTATTTGGCTGAGATACAACTGTTTGAATATCTGGAATCTGAGGGGGCAAAAAAAAATCTAAATATTGAGAAAATCACCTTTAAATTTGTCCAGATGAAGTTCTTAGCAATGCATATTACTGATCAGTTTTGATATTTATGGTAGGAAATGTTTGTATTTATTTTTTTTATAGTTTTGACCCATACAATGTATTGTTGGCTATTGCTACAGATATACCTGTGCAACTTAAGACTGGTTTTGTGGTCCAGGGTCACATATAGATATATATAGCCTACAGTTTTATACATATTTACTTTTAGTAAGCTATTTAAACTATGTAAGTGCATGAAACATCTGATATTCATCAGTTGTTGTGTTTTTCAGGTTTCTTTTTATTATGGATTTGCCCTTGCATGGAAATGTCTCTTTCAAAACAGTAGTGATGTTAAAGCAAGGTATGTTCTTTAACACATAACAAACACTGCTTTTCATCAGTAGTAGTAAGATTATTAGGTAGTAAGATAATTTCTCGCACTGCTAAATTTCTCTCTACTTCTAGAAAAAGGCTGAAAGCTATGGAATCTTTGATTGGATTGATCCAAAACTTTCCATATGAGGACCCTAAGTATGAGAAACTTCAAGAGAACATGGAAAGGCTGCGTGCCAAGTTTAGACAGGTAATGTCATCAAACATGCCCCATCACCTCTTTGTTAAAATGCAAGCTGACTGTTTCTAATTGGTTATTTTAACTTTTAATCATCAAAATACTACCTGCCTAGCACATTTCACCTCTACAGGTGTGCTCTTTACTGAACGTGGCAACAGACTTTAAAGAATATATAAGAGGATCAACAGGAATGTCCTTCTGAGAGATGGCAGGAGCCTTACAGCAGCCATGGCAAACTCAGAGCGCCTTTTGTGAGCAAGCCATGATGATCTTCTGCAGACAGACAGTCTTGATGAAGGGGTTTGTGGTGTTCACGTGCCGTGTGTATAAGAGAGGACTGTTATCACTGTCACTGGACTCGTAAGTCAGAATTCTGGAACAGCTCTTTAAACTGAATTCTAGAAAACACAGAGTGGAAGAATCTGAGTGATATACTTAGGTGTTTTAAAGTGAGATCAACAGGGGTGAAATAGCAATGGCAGTGATATGAGTTAATTTAAGACAAGCCAAAGCCACCGTCTTCATAAGAATATTCCATCTCCCAAGATGTTTTTTTTGTTTGTTTAGCAATTTTAACCCTTCTGTGTGTGGATTCCTACGAAGATGACAATGAAAACCATCTTGTGGTGAAATTGGGAGAAAGGTTTTTGCCATCAGGTGGCACCGCCTGCTGGTAAACAGCAAGTACTGTAGGATTGTTACTTGTAAAATCAGTATTAAACTGGATATAAGCAGCACAGGCAGTTTCACAATAAGGGTTTTACATTTACACTTTACATACAGTTTATGACTCTTCAAATGCTTTATTGTTAAGCCCATGTCTATAATAAGAGACATTACAGAATAAAATAAATGTACATTCATTATTTTGATGTGTAGCTGTCTAAATTATGATTCTTCTAGTTATATTTTATAGTTAATGATAATAACAATAATATTTTCAAATTATTTTTATTAATACTTGTTTATGTTGCATGTTGTTTGCCCTTTTTCAATTCATCATACATCTATTAGATATTTTATTAAATAATTTGAAGCTAGAGAGTGAGAGCTAGTGATTTGACATTACACATCTGCCATTTGCAGAAATCCCATTTACCCCTAGTTAGTCTTGGCTAACCAGCCCTGAATCCTAAGAAATTCCTCTCCTAGGTTCCTCAGCGCTGTTTCACGGGTGGTCAGCAGAGTCTCCTGACAGATAGTTTTCCTCCCCTCTCCTGGGCCCAGAATGGGGACAGTTGCTGTGGCTGCAACAATGCTGAAGTGGGGCCCGTGCGAGAGGCCAGGGGGCTGCGCGACGTACTTTGGTTTTGTTCCGCTCCCTTCGCACTTGAAGTCTGAGGTGCAGATCAGAATTCAGGCAGACAGGAGTTGGCAGCATATTAGAGGGTGTTTCTAGAGGTGGCAGCTGGTCTACGCTGTGGGCAGCAGCAGGTAAACACTAGGCCTGTTGGCGGCACCTTCTGAGCCCTGACAGATAAAACCCTGCTCTTCCCTGAAGACCTCCAGTCAGCCGCTACATCGGTCATTTTGTGCTGGTGGAGTCATACAAAGTTTGGTTTAGACATTAATTGGAAGCCAGAACTACATATATTATACAGTAATGGGAAGTGAATATTATTAGAAAATAACAAAATTAGTTAAAATTATCTATTGGTTTATCATCTGCATCTTATGCTGTTGTTCTTTAAAATAAACCCATCTTGGTTTGATAGCTATACAATGAAGGATTCTAATTAATTTTTAATTGTGGTTCAAGTTTCAAGATACTTTTTACAGGGTTCCTACGCGGTTTGGAAAAGTATGGAATTTGATTTAAGTAATTTCCAGGTCTTGACAAGTATGGGGGAAAAAAAAGAAAGCAGAGTATGGAAAAATATTAGCATTTCCAGACTTTTGCCCCCCCATTTCGTTTTTTATTATATAAAATTAAGAATATAATGAAAATAAGTTTATCATAAAAGAAGTGTTTTCATGGCAGCTGTTTAGTAATTCTTAATTGATTGTCAAACACGACTGAATGAATTCAAGGTGCACTTTTTAATTATGCAAAATTT